ATTTCTCGTTGCTTTCTAGTTTCCAATACAAGGCTTGAAAAGACTACTCGATGAGAATGTTGGATTTCATAAAATATGTGCCTTTATCACGGTAGCGGCCTCAGGTATTTTTATTAAAGATCTGTCCAGTACCATTCAACGGGGTCAAAAACTGCTTTATCATTGCTATTTTCCAAAATTAGAAAAGCCGGACACGAAAGCTTTTCTATCAATAAAAGCATTAAACTTTACATTCAGAAATTACATTATAGAATCTCGATAGATGAAGATCGATCGCCACATGTTTCCTATGGGCTTCCTGTGTCAATTTTAATTACAATTTGGGCTTCCTGTGTAGTTAAAACTCTTTCTCTTCGTCCTTTAGTGATACATACTATAGCCCATTTAATAAACGCAGAAAACTTCTCTAAACACTATAATCAAGACTATGCAGATTTAAACTTTGCTAAGTTCAAAGATCAGGTAAGGCGAACCCTGACGTTAGCTAAGTCTCTCTCTGGACTGATGGCAAGTGTCTTTTAGTGGATTGAAATCCTTTTTTCCAGACAAAAAAACATACCTGATAATCTTTTTCGTGTTTTGATGTAGAATCCTCTGGTTTTTGTCTTGTGCTCAGGTAAGCGCTCACTCGGGTTTGCGATGTAAGTACTCCGAAGTGCGAGATTCTTCCGATGAAGGTGCGAAATATCTCCGATGGAAAGACGAGATACTTAAGATAGTAGAAGTGAAAATAAATGTAACGACGATGAAACGTGTAGTGAAATAAATCAGTAAATGAATAACCGTGAATGGATAAGAAAACGCATGAATTGGTGACAGAATAAGTAAATCGCATTATGAACATTCTAGCAACACTCATTTGATTGTTAGTTGCAGGGAGCACAGGAATCCTGATGATGGTAATATTGATGTTAATGGTATGAAACGATTCATTAACAAATGACTGGTTTCAAGATTTTGTCTTAGAAATTCATTTATTAAATTTCTTAATTCCGTTTTAGATTGGTACATCTATGCCAGTATTAAGGTACGCTATCAGAATAATTGAACTTGTTTTAATGTTAACTATGATACATTCTTATTGATAATCGCCTATGGTTTTTAAATTTTACAATTAAGAAGGCTGAACATTTTTGATTAGTTTGTACCGAACGTTTTCGAACTTAACAGTTCATCATCAGGGATTAAACAAAATTTACATAATGTGTACAGAGTTTTAAGCAGTTTTACGTAATCCCTTGGGGGAAAAGTGTTAGATGGTATGTCTCCGTTTGTCTATTCAGCGTAGGCTGGTAGAGGCTGATTACATTCTTATTTTGACATTTTTTAATTGTAGGAGAAGTTCTTACGAAGTGTTTTGGTATTCGCATCATTTCTTCATTGCATTTTACATTCTTCTTGCTGTTCATGGACTGGGGTAAGCCATATTTCAATCAATCAATCAATCAATCAATCAATCAATC